AAGACAAACAAACAATACAGTAGAACAGTAAATGAAATGAAATGAAATGGGCTTTAACGTCCTACTGTTTTGCTCCGAACTGGGCTAATGAAGACGGGCATACACCATACAGTGTGCTATGAGGGAAATTTTGCTTGGACAGCGGCACTACAGCCTACTCTTATATCGAATTACAACTGACAAGGGATCTTTTATGTGCAAGCCAATGTGTACACAGGACCTCGGTTTTTCGTCTCATCTGAATGACTAGACAGCTGTCTTTGTCAGGCCCTTCATCCTGTATCACTGACAAGGGGGAACCACGCCGGAAAATCTGGGAGAACTTTCTCAGCCAATACAGGGATCGATCACCCGACCTCCAGGCTAGCGAGCCAGTGTCTTGCCCACTTAGCCACCATGACCCCCCCCCCCCCATTAGGAAAGTAAACAATTAGATAAATTAAAATGAAATGCGTTTTAACATCCCACTATTTCACACCAACCTGGCTAATGAAGATGGTCATATGCCATGCAGTGTGCTATGAGGTAAATCCTGGGGATCACGTGGCTAAGTGGGTAAAACGCTGGCTCCCTAGCCTGGAGGTCGGGTGTTCAATCCCTGCATTGGCCGAGAAATCCATCCAGATTTTCTGGCGTGGTTCCCCCTTGTCAGTGATGCAGGACAGAGGGCCTGACAAGGACAGCTGTCTAGTCCTTTGGATGAGACAAAAAACCGAGGTCTTGTGTATACATTGGAATGCACGTAAAAGATCCCTTGGCAGTTGGAATTCGATATAAGAGTAGGCGATAGTGCCGCTGCCTGGGCAAAATTTTCCTCATAGCACACTGTATGGCATATGCCTGTCTTCATTAGCCCAGCATAGGAGCAGAACAGTAGGACGTTAAACCCAATTTCATTTTGAGGTAAATTCTGAGGAACTCACTGGGCCACCATGGCTCCCATTGCAGCTTGAATACTGTCTGAAAATTTAATGAAACGGTGACAAAAACCTTATGGAGAAGTCCAAGTTTTCATTGGGTCTCCCAAAGTATGATTTATAATACAAATCAATTGCCAAAATGTTAGGAAATACACAAAGAAACTTTTAAAAAAGATCCACCCTGTATATTTTACAATAACTGGTTATATGAGCATTGACATCAAAACCTTGATAACTAACGACAGAAAAACACCAACGACAATTAGAAAACATAAAAAGTTGTTCCTGGGGTTTAAAATGTGTTAATGGATGACAATGCTAAGCCACATCATTCTCAAGCAGTAACAGCTTTTTTCCAGAAAACATTCAAAGTTGATCTTGGATAGATTGACCTCCAGATGGATGACGATGATAGATGAAATGGGGTTTAATGTTCTACTCTTATGCACTGACGAGGACAATGAATGTGAACTGAATTGAAATGTTTGGTTTTTTTATTTTAAATGTTAAAAAGTCCTACTGTTCTGCACCGACTTTGCTAATGAAGACGGACATCTGCCATACATATGAGTGAAATTTTGCCTAGACAGCAGCACAATGGCATACTCTTATTGCAAATTCCAACTGTCAAGGGTTCTTTGGTGTGCACACTAATGTGTACACAGGACCTTGATTTTCCATGTCCCTTGCCAAGCCCTTCATTCTGCACCACTGACAAAGAGGAAGTCAATGAACTTAGACGCAACCATGTTAACACAATAAGCGTACAACAAATCTAATATTAGGCAGATTTTCAAAGTTATTATCTTTGTATGTGTATATAAAATACATAAACCATTGATAACAATGTCTGATTTATATTCTAACAATTATGGTTGTATGCAAATAGCTTTAATATTAAATTCTTTCAATGGCATTTAGTAATCATGCTGGAAATACACAGGATATATTTGAATGGAATACAATTATTTTTTTATTTCGGAGTGAGCTTCTCTTGTCTTTAACATGCAAAATGATAAATTAAAAAAACAAAAGTACTTGGTTACACTATTCAAAGTCTTTTAGTTCCAAATTTATAAGTTTTGAAATATTAAACAAAACATCTTTCACATGATTCAAGACCTTGAAAACAGAAAATTTCATTGGTTTGGCCTTAATTATGATAACTGGTAATTATATAATTAAGAAAGAGTATCATATTCACATGTGGGAGCCACGGTGACTCAGTAAGTAGGATGTTGGCTTGCTAACCTAGAACCTTGACAGTTGGAATACGGAATAAGAGTAGGCCACAGCACAGCTGTCCTGGCAAAATTTCCCTCATTGCACACAGCATGGTATTTGCCTGTCTTTGTTAGCCCAGTAGGAGCAGAACAGTAGGACGTTAAACCCCATTTCATTTCATATATTCACATATATACAATGTCCCATTATATTTTATTTTTTTATCATTGCTTGACAAATACTAGAGAACCCTAGTGACACAGCCATAAAAAGTAAGTGTACTTTATAGAATGGTGTCCCATGTAGTTTTTATGTCGAGTATTGTAATGACAAACCTGATGTTCAAAAAAAATATGCTACTCAAAATAACAATCTTCTATATGTCAATAGTAGTCATGTATTGTAGGTTTTACTGTCTAAATAACGCACTTACACACAGACGAAAAGGAATGTATTATGACTTTTTTAATAAAAAACGTTCATTTTCATATTTTTGCTTAACAAAGAGTCTTTACAACTCAATGGTAGCAATTCTTCTAGTTCTAATTGTTGTAGTGATTAGCTTCTAGAGATCTGTTTCAATTGTCAATATTCCATGGTCTATGAAAACACCACAGCCATGATATGAAAGGAGATCAATACAATAAAGACAATAGTTTTACACCACATTTCTGGACACACTATCCACATACTATCAGAGGTGTTCACTTCTGACATTTAAAAAGAAAATGAAAATTACACATTTCAGCCACAACCATACCCTGTAACCTGAACATTATTCTGTCAACAGGAAAATAGAGTTGGTAAAAGGAGGTGTTACAAAATGTCAAATTGGTAACTTAAAACTTTTTACATTCAAATAAACTGTTTCATCTTGCACTTGGTAACTTAATGTACTAGGCTAATTATTTATTCCTTCAGAAGAACCGATCATGTTGAAGAGGTTTTTTTTCTTATTTGGTTGATTGTTTGTTGTATTCCCCAAGGCCATTTTCTTTTTTAGATGGAATTATCAAAATTGAAAACTAGACAGGATGCTTGGACATAAAATTTCCAAATTAACTTCAACATGCACAAAATGGGTGTGCAGCCTTTTATCTGTTTTAGCCTTAAGATATAGATTGAATATTTTATATCGTTACATTATTCTAGAAAAACAGTTCCTACTATCATACTGTTTCTAGAAAAACAGAAGTTCCTACTATCTTACTGTTTCTAGAAAAACAGAAGTTCCTACTATCTTACTGTTTCTAGAAAAACATAAGTTCATGCTATCATATTGTTTCTAGAAAAAAAAATAGAAGTTCTTACAGTCATACTGTGTCTAGAAAAATAGACATTTCTATCATCAAACTATTTCTAGAAAAAAATATAAGTTCCGGCTACCATAAAACTTGGTACAGTACCAAAATCCATAAAATATGATATGCTTGTACCACAGCATTGCTGAAGAAACCCAGCCTAATTAGTTTCTCAAGTCTATTGGAACTGATTTTGGGGTATTTGTTATTCAAATGTTAATTGAAACAAATGGAATTTGATTCGAATTGTGTCTCCCATATGTAATATTTAGTAATATAAAACAATGCTATCAACTAATATGAAAAATAAATAGATATAGAATATATATTGATTTAACAGATTCACATTATCTAGAAATCTGAAAATAAACCGATTCCTTATCGACTAACCACAACAGTATATCAATTAACCGCAACAGTATATTGACTAACCACAACAGTATATCAACTAACAGTATATTGACTAACCGACTCAGTCCATTGACTAATACTATTTTGACTAACCACAACAGTATACCAATTAATCGCAACAGTATATAGACTAACCACAACAATATGTCAACCAACCACAACAGTACATTAACTGGATGAACTTTGTCATCCTTGAATGGACTTTGCTAAGTTTAGAGCAAAAGAGCCTTGCCAAACAAACAAGGAAGATGGGCACACACCACACAGAGTGCCATAAGAAAAATTTGAATAAGAATTTATTCAAAATTGCTTGCCTTATTTTAACTAAAATATTATAGCCCGTTATAAAACTTTTGTTGTATTAATGTATCAAATTCATCAATAAGAAACCATATGCAAAGGTATATCATCAATTCTGGATCTGGAGGTATATCATCATTTCTGTATCTGAACTTATATTATCAATTCTGGATTTGAAGGTATATCATCAATTATGTATCTGAAGTTATATCATCTATTCTGGATCTGAAGTTCTATATCTTTAAGTCTGGATCTAAAGTTCTATATCTTTAAGTCTGGATCTAAAGTTCTATATCTTTAAGTCTGGATCTAAAGTTCTATATCTTTAAGTCTGGATCTAAAGTTAAAAATGATAACTTACATGGACTGAAAATCATATTTTGACCCATTGTTTATGTCACGAGAATTATTAAATCATGATGCTGATTATAATATTGTTTTCATGTTGTTTATCAGTGTACATGCTAGACCTCTTGTACAAACGGCATAACAAATAAAGTGATAATCCCAACTACATGTATCACACATTCTATACTGATCCTAGATAATCACTGTTGACACACACAATAGCCACTGACATGTGCAAAATTCAAATAAATGTTTTCATAATGAGCCTTTATTCTCTTTTATCCCTAACAAGATACGACCAGAAAGCAAATCAATCGCTTTGAAAAGCGATTTGTTTACTCTACGAAGTCACGGAATTAAGGCGTAACTAGTTTTTTATTGTTAGTTTTTGATCCTGTTTACTGGGGCTTGTCAATCTATATGACAAATACTTGTATGTAGGAACCAGTTGAATGGTTCTGTTGACTAAAGCTTTAGTTACAGCTCAGCTTTACATAAACACTTTTCATTGGTACTACTTGATATCAACTGTTCAGGGCATGTGATAAACTCTTAAGCTTAATCAATGATGAACTGAGATGCTATCAGATATAAGGTTTGTATGATTTATCTTGACACAAATGTACCTGGTATTATTTGCTGAAGCCATCTCTTTAATCAAATTATATGGTTTTGTGTATTTTGAAAGATACAGCTTCTTTCATTGAAGAAGTTTATCACAAAGATCAATAAGGAATGTTCAATTTATTTAAACATATATATATAAGGTATCAACTTGACTTGAGTAATATAATCAACTATAGTGATCTAGTGAGTTAATTAAAATGCAGTGAGTTTGTGTTAAGATGAGTGATAAGCAGATTTGTTACAACTGAGTAAAAAAAAGACTTTAGAAGGATTTATTTTATCTCTCTAATATAGAAGGTAAATAAATAAAGTTTAGTGTAGTAGAATAAACTGATTAGATCAGTCAAATCTTTAAATTCATTGGCCATGAAACATGATTAAATCATCTAATTGATATTGAATTGTTTCATTGGTATTTATTAATTGAACTGGAAATACATAGGAAATAATTCTATGGCATACAATTATACTGTTGATAACTGATCGATGTTTCAATTAGACTTCTCTCGTCTTTATCAAGCAATGGGCGATGGGTTGGGGGGGGGGGGTATGACCGAATGGTTAGGGCATACACGTTGTATCATAAGGTCTGTCATTGAGTCACCTGACGTGGTTTTGATTCCCTGTGTATATGTGACAAGGAGTAATTTCGTCTGTCCAACATCTTGGAATTTCTCTGTGTCCTCTGGTTCCCTTCCACTGCTAAAGACCCCTACGTGCAAGCGAATTATTGCCATATTTAAGAAAATAGTCTATTAATACGCATAGACTAATATGGCATTTGATTTACATAATTGAAAATACTCCTTTTGGAAACCCAGTAAAAAATGAGACTTCTCTTTAAAGTTCAGATAGTATTAAGGTTAAAGATGGAAACCAACGATGGCTCAGTGTGTATAAGTCACTGTACATGTCTCACCAGGAGGTATAACTTTAGTGGAAGTGGACATTCACAAACTATAAAGAATCCTGGTTAAAATGTCACTCAGTAATAAACAGTGATTGTATTTTATAGAATTATGTTCTGTATATTGATCTTGAATATGAAAGATGTTTGTTTTATTACATTTATATGGCAGTTTGAATGTTTTCATCAATGAGAAGTGAGAACTAATATTATTTATAGTTCAAGTATATGAAACAAGTAAATAGAAGTGGCTGGGAAGAAAAACAGTTTGTAATTCCCTGAGAAATTTGATATTTTAGAGGAAATGCAAATGACGCATCAAGTCTTTAACTGAATTGTGTTCAACAAGTAGTTAAGTCTATGGTTATCTTTTAATAAAACCCTGTAAAATAAGATTTGTATCATACAGTTGATAGTGCAGAAGCTCCGAAACTATAGAATAGGCTTCCTTGTAATTTACAAAGTAGCCGATCTATAGCTATTTTTAAAGGGACAATAACACTCTTGCTGGCTTGACAGCTCCAGAAAATAAATAATAGCCTTATTCTAAGTACTAGATGATTAAGTGTCCTACCTGTTGTGTAAATTATCCATTACATCTTATTTAAAAAGGTTTACGTTAGGCTTTTCAAATCATTTAGTTGTATTTTTCCAATTTTTTAAATTAGGTGTGTTAAGATGAAATTTGTATCACCAATTAATTGGAATATTGTAAAATAGTACAATTTGTTGACCAGAATAAAGATTGGGACATATTATTCAGTTACAACAAGAGTGGTATTGAGCCTTTAAGAAAAAAATTGAAATTCCATTTATTTGAAGAGGTTTCGACTAATAATCATTTACTTCTATGTTGTATTTTATGCGTTTTGTGTTTATCATTCACCATTTAAATTATAAATTAAACTTAAAGGTACGTTCCCAGAAAAGTATTTATCGGGTGGTTATTTTCTATAAAAGTATGGCAGTTTTGGTATATATAGAAAGTAGAAATATCCAGTCTTACTAGAAATATACTGGATTCCCTGAAAAACACTTATGGGTCGCATACAGGACAAAAATGTACGTGTTTCCCTAATCGACAGCCCGATGATTAGGAGTGTCTGCACGCGTGAAGTCGAAAGTTGCACGCGGAGATTGAGCGCTTGATGTACATGTTGATAAACTTTATGAAGAGTTAGACGTACAACACTTTCTGAGATAAAAATCACGGAAAAAGACGGGGGCAGTGGATAATCCGAGAATTTAATTAGACTTTGATATTTGTAATAAATAGTCCGCGATAAAGGCAACATCGTCTTGTGTATGCAATATGAATTCTCCTCTGTCTTCGCACTCGTTTTGTCACGTGACACAAACATGACCTCTTTTGATCGATTTTTTATAGGCGGCAATTCCCTGACAATTGCAATGTTTTGAGAAGGATTTGAAGCAAAATTATGATTAAATTAATTAGTTTGAACATGTTTTTGTCCAAATATATCATCAAATCACCCAGTTTGTACCCGGGAATGTATCTTTAACAGCAAATATGATTAAGGAGCAATTATACCAAAAAATTGTTAGAATTAAAGAATTCCTTGCAAACTACAATATTGTGAAAGTTGATTCCCTAATAATAGTATTAGTCCAACAATTATGTTTCAATTCCGTATATACAATATGATGAATTCAAAATTCCATCGATCTACATATCCTGCTCCTCTATGTAGCCTGGAGGTCGGGTGTTCGACCCTTGCATTGGCCGAGAAAGTTCATCCAGATTTTCTGCGTGGTTTCCCCCTTGTCAGTGATGCAGAACGGAGGGCCTGACAAGGACAGCTGTCTAGTCGTTCGGATGGGACAAAAACCTGAGGTCCTGTGTACATATTGGCGTGCACATAAAAGATCCCTTGACAGTTGGAATTCGATATAAGAGTAGGCCATAGTGCCCTGTCCAGGCAAAATTTCCCTCATAGCACACTGTATGGCGTATGCCCGTCTTCATTAGCCAAGTTCAGGGCAGAACAGTAGGATGTTAAACACCATTTCATTTCATTTCATTTCTATGTACCGGTAACAACGATGCATCCATCTTTCTTTGCTGTGAACTAAATTGATGGGATGTTTTTAAACCTGATTAAATCCAAGTTATGAGATTATCCAGCAGTGGTATTTTCACTGTGTTTTATTAATCAATCAGGATTAAGCCTTGAGAAATTTGATATTTTCTAAAAAAAAAAATGCAAATCATGCTTTATTATTTGTTTGATAAAGAAATATATTATAAGATATATGAAAAGAAATCAAACTACATATTTTAAACTAGCGCTTTCAGTTCCATCGGAACCTCTTCAATCTTTAATAACTATATATATATATATATATATATATATATATATATATATATATATATATATATATATATATATATATATATATGTAACAGCTTTGAAGTGTGGAAAGTTTTGTAATGTTAAATTTTTAAATACTGTTAGTAAAGATTATGAAATAACAGGGAGATGTTGAAATATGGCCGATATAGATATATATAGTAGCATTTACCGGATTAATTAAACTATGTCATTGAAAGTATTGTCATATTGAATATATTGGGTTAGGTTTAAATATGTTACTATTTATAGTATATATGACATATTCCATAGAATGTATATCATTGTCAACATATTCATTCATACATTGACAACAACATTATTTAGTAAAGCTCATATATCAATACAGACAAGATAGGATTTGAATGGATGTACAACTTGTGGTTTAAAGTTTTACTAATGGATGAATAAAAAGTATGTATAGTTTTTCAACCCCTGTAAAAGAATAATAGGAGCTGCGACCTATAGATTTGTAAGTGGTGGAGTGTACCATTAATGAAGTTTATTTAAGTCAAATTTCGTAATCTCAATTCCAGGCTTGTACGTGAATCAAGTGTACCCTGCCAAACCTTTTGTGTTTGCTCCTGATCCTCTTATTTCTGCCATTGCTATAGACCCCATGTGTAAGCAATATAAACTATTAAAATTAAGATGTACCATATGTTAGTCCCAAAATGACTTAGTTTATGTTGAGATATAGAACATGAGGTTTAATTATGGTATGTGGTGGAGATACATGCTTTTTAGGATGGAGGGGAGTTGGTTCTTTTTTTGTACGACAGCTAATTAAGTATTCAATTATCTGAGATGAGATGAACCATTTTCTGTCATTGGACTTATTTAAACTTGTTGTAAATCTGTGGTCAGCAGATAGAGAGAGAGACAGAGTGGGGGTTAATGTCCAATCAACAACATGATTCAATTTCATTTCATTAATTTGGTTGCACTTTGAGGTCTTTAGTAGTGGGAGGAAATGGGGGGGGGGACGAAGAGAAAACACACAAGGTTGAGCAGGTGACCCTACTCCTTGTCATGTAGAAGTGTGGGATCATAACCACACCATTTGACTCAATGACAGACCTTGATCCTAAAAACAGCCATTAGACCACTAGACCACCCAACCGCTTCGGTCCTGATGGATCAATGCCAAGAATGATATATTGCACCTCAACTAAGTATTAAAATATGAGTAAAGAATTATGTAAAACAAAAGTACTGGTTATTAAAAAATCTATAAGATTATATAGAATAGATTTACATGGTTGTGAAGTGTAAGAAAATTTTGCCGAGGGAATTTTAAAAATCAATTTTTTTGAATTATGTTTAAGATGTAAACATAAAAACTCTCATTAAAACTGTACTTCTAAGTACCGGGGGATCACATGGGTAAGTGGGTAAGACGCTGGCTCGCTAGTCTGGGGGTCGGGTGTTCGATCCCTGCATTGGCCGAGAAAGTTCATCCAGATTTTCCGGCATGGTTTCCCCTTGTCAGTGATGCAGGACAGAGGGCCTGAAAAGGACAGCTGTCTAGTGGTTCGGATGGGACAAAAAACCAAGGTCCCCTGTACATATCGGTGTGCACATAAAAGATCCCTTGGCAGTTGGAATTCGATATAAGAGTAGGCTGTAGCACCGCTGCCTGGGCAAAATTCCCCTCATAGCACACTGTATGGCGTATGCCCGTCTTCA